TCCACCAGACTACGCATACCTTCCGCGTGCTCTTCCAACAACTTCAACGATGCCCTTCGTTCCGCGCGACGAGCCTGCGCTGTCGGCCCATTTTCGATATCCTACATTACGCAACCCGCGTTTCAATGATTATTAGCAGTCACTGTTCTCTTTTTATGATTACTGTACTGGGATTTTTTTCATCTTGACGTGCTTCCCTATCTCTCTAAGAATTCTCAATTCTTACTTTCATTTCACTTCTTTCATTTCCCAATTTTAACACTATTACCATTACTTAATTCTTTTCCATCTCAATTACTTTTCATTCTTAACTAAAAAATATATTGTTATCACAGTCGTCGTACTGACGAGGTCCAACTGTGGAAATGGTAAGAAATGTATACGACTTAATAGACCGAAACATTTCTTATCTAATTTATTACTTCTTTTTACATCTTTCCCTTTTTGACTTTTTTTTGACCTTTTCTATCATCCATTTCCACATTTTCTAACAAGATTTTCACTTAACCTTAAATTGAGGAAGTCATTTTTCGTAAATTGGCGCCCCCTCCACCTCATGGGTCCAAGTGCGGTGCTTCTAAGATTTGATGCGCCATAGAATACTACACAGCAGAAATTTTTAGAATAAACGCAGAACGATCGAAATCTATCAATTCATCCAAAAGTAAACGGTTTTGTCCTGTCGCTGTCAACGCAAATTCAGGAAGATGAAAAGAAATGGCTGTGCGAATGAAAAAGGAATAGCGATCATAAAATTTGGCTGTAAGTTTTTCCATAAATTAAATTTGGGTTTTAGAGTTTAATATTTGTTAATTTTCGAGTTTCCACTTTCCGACTTTTTTTCAATCCAAGTTACGCTTGAACTTGAATCTGAGATAAATTTTGAGGAAACAAATACATTTTGAAATCATCCTTACGGCTTTCATCTCAAACGTTGCGATAGGCCAAGTTTCAAAAAAAAAATTGTCTTCTCAGAACTGCTGGTTTTAAATTCGAGTTTTTCGGTAAATGCAAACCAGAATACATAAATACATACAGGCACACACACGCACACACACACACACACACACACACACACACACACACAAACACATCTTGGCAAACATGGACATGATCATGCAATAATGCTCATTTTTTGCAATATTCCCGAAAAATCGACAGAGCTCAACAAAAAAACCCCCGATGTCTTAAAAAAAATGAATACCAACGAACTTTAAGCTGCTTAATCATTAGCTCAACGTAACGTGCTGCTACGATCCAGTCTGCATTTCCATTGCTCCTCACGATGGCATTTGCGCCATTATTTGGCGCAATATCGTCCAGTAAGGTGCCACCTGTAAAAATTAACATAAAATATGACTGCAAGAATTCGCCAATCATTTTGCTTGCTGGCGCGTCAAATTTCTCTTCCTGACCATATAAGCAATCAGACTCTTCGTCAAATGAACGGCATGCAAGATGTTATTGCGACTAAGTGAGAAAGTAAAATCCGATGGGCGGGGCATATTGCTCGCCTTGTC